GGGCCTGATGTCCCTCAGTCTGTGCTCATTTCCAACCCTGGTTACCCAGATGTCCCACAGGTTTGGAACTACCTCAGTTGCTTTCAAATACATCCTGTTTTCTCTTAAGTCAATTAGAGTTGGTCCCAGTTACTTGTAGACACGAGCCCTGACTTGTACTGTGCGCCATTCCTTTAAAAAAAACCCAGTGTATGTGTAAAAGACAACCCAATCATTCCCTCACCTTTTCCACCACTAGCACTGATTCAGAACTCTGAGATTTCAGACAATTTTCAGTAAAATGACGTTATAGCCAGTATAAGCTATAATTAGAACACAAGAACTTGTCATTAGGTATGTGATTCCAAAAGCATGATTTTTGAGTGTGTATTGCATAATTTAATAACTATCTCCTCCAACCACTAAGTGCTAATTTGCTGGAGATCAGCAGAGCACTCGCCCAACTGGTGTAGCTCTGTCTGTTTGTGACTCGGATACACTAAGTCCAAGACAAAGGAATCAAATTGACTGCATCTGTGGAAGGAGATGATGGAAAACCTCAATATCATCAGTCAGAACAAGGCCAAGGGTCGACTGCGGAACAGACCATCAATTGCTCATATGCAAGTTCAGGTTGAAACTGAAGAAAATTAGAACAAGTCCACGAGAGCAAAAAGTACGATCTTGAGTATATCCCACCTGATTTAGAGACCATCTCAAGAACAGATTTGACGTGTTGAACACTAAAGACCACAGCCGAGACAAGTTGTGGAATGACATCAAGAACATTATAAATGAGAAAACAAGAGGACCTTAAAAAGAAAGGAAAGAAAGAAATGACCAAATTATTTCAGAAGAGACTCTGAAACTTGCTGTTGAACTTGAGTAGCAAAAGCAAAAGGAAGAAATGATGAAGTAAAAGAGCCGAACAGAAGATTTCAAAGGGTGGCTCAAGAAGACAAAGTAAAGTATTATAATGACATATGCAAAGACCTGGAGATAGGAAACAAAAAGGGAAGAACATGCTTGGCATTTCTCAAGCTGAAAGAACTGAAGAAAAATTCAAGCCTTGAGTTGCAAGACTGAAGGATTTTACAGGGAAAATATTAAATGACACAGGAAGCATCAAAAGAAGATGGAAGGAATATACTAAGTCACTACACCAAAAAGAATTGGTCAATATTCAGCCATTTCAGGAGGTAGCATATGATTAGGAACTGATGGTACTGAAGGAAGAAGTCCAAGCTACACTGAAAGCACTGGCGAAAAATGAGGCTCCAGGAATTGACGGAATACCAACTGAGATATTTCAAAGAACGGATGCAGCGCTGGAAGTGCTCGCTCCTCTATGCCAAGAAATTTGGAAGACAGTTACCTGGTCAACTGATTGGAAGAGATCCATATTTATGCCTATTCCCAAGAAAGTTGATCCAACCGAATGTGGAAATTATGGAACAATGTCATTGATAGCATACGCAAGTAAAATTTTGCTGAAGATCATTAAGAAGCGGCTGCAGCAGTATATCAACACGGAACTGCCAGAAATTCAAGCTGAATTCAGAAGAGGACGTGGAATGAGGGATATCATTGCTGATGTCAGATGGATCCTGGCTGAAAGCAGACAATACCAGAAAGATGTTTACCTGGGTTTTATTGACTATGCAAAGGCATTAGACTGTGTGGATCATGACAAATTATGGATAACATTGCAAAGAATGGGAGTTCCAGAACAATTAATTGTGCTCATGAGGAATCTGTACATCCATCAACAGGCAGTTGTTTGAACAGAACAAGGGGGTAGTGTGTGGTTTAAAGTCAGGAAAAGTGTGTATCAGGGTTGTATCCTTTCACCATACCTATTCAGTCTGTACGCTGAGCAAGTAATCTGAGAAGCTGGACTATATGAAGAAGAACAGGGCGTCAGGATTGGAGGAAAACTCATTAACAACCTGATTTATGCAGACGACACAACCTTGCTTGCTGACAGTGAAGAGGACTTGAAGCACTTGCTGTTGAAGATCAAAGACCGCAGCCCTCAGTATGGATTACACCTCAACATAAGGAAAACAAAAATCTTCACAACCGGGCCAATAATCAATATCGTGATAAATGGAGGAAAGATTGAAGTTGTCAAGGATTTCATTTTACTTGGATCCACAATCAACCCCCATGGAAGCAGCAGTCAAGAAATCAAAAGACGCATTGCTTTGGGCAAATCTGCTGCAAAAGGTCTCTTTAAAGTGTTGAAAAGCAAAGATGTCACCTTGAAGACTAAGGTTCACCTGGCCCAAGCCATGGTATTTTCAATCACCTCATATGCATGAGAAAGTTGGACAATGAATAAGGAAGACTGAAGAAGAATTGACGCCATTGAATTGTGGTGTTGGTGAGGAATATTGAAAATACCATGGACTGCAGAAAGAATGAACAAATCTGTCTTGGAAGGAGTATAACCAGAATGCCCCTTAGAAGCAAGGATGGAGAGACTACGTCTCACATACTTTGGACATGTTATCAGGAGGGATCAGTCCCTGGAGAAGGACATCATACTTGCTAAAGTAGAGGGTCACTGAAAATGAGGAAGACCTTCGACAAGATGAATTGACACAGTGGCTGCAAGGATGCGCTCAAGCATTAACAATGTGAGGATGGTGCAGGACCACGCAGTGTTTTGTTCTGTTGTACATAGGGTCGCTATGAGTCGGAATGGACTCGATGGCACCTAACAACGAGAACAAGACGTCCAAGATGGTAGCAGTGAAGAGGCATCTTCAAACCTTAGTTTCAATATTCTTTTATTTCTGCATTCTAATGCCAACAAATAGAAGATACCACATATCCCCAAACTGTGATTAGCTGTTGGACATTTTGATAATTTACTAGGATTTCTTTCACAGACAGTATCAGACACACCACCATTGAATAAATCTTGTGATGGTCTCTTTTGTATGGTCAGGCTTTCTCCAATGAAACTCTAATTGCTCACTGACATTCTCAAATAAATGCCACGGAAATACCCAGGGACATTATACCTAACACACAAAACCAAAAAAAAAAAAACAAAAAAACAAAAAACCAAACCCCTTGCCATCGAGTCGATTCTGACTCATAGCAACCCTATAGGACAGAGTAGAACTGCCCCATAGAGTTTCCCAGGAAACTGCCAACCTTTATGGTTAGCAGCCTTAGCACTTAACCATTACACCACCAGGGTTTCCAACACACAAAAAGGGAGAGGAAATCCCATTAGCACTTACTATACATTTTAAAGTCTAATGCCTCTCACTTTGCCAAAGTTGGTGCATCCATAGTCATGTAAACTGGCCTGAAATGGAGAGATCTTCCATTTCAGTGCGTGCTGGCTCTTAGTGTCCTTTGCAGTGCCTCAAGGGAAAAAGAACCACACCAGCGCTTTAGATGTAGGGCTTTGGACTGGTTCGTTTGCGTTTCCACCTAAGATATACTGAATCAGAATCTACGTTTTAACAAGATCCCCAGGTGATTCTTACGGATAATAAATTTCGAGAACTACTGCTGTACTAGTGGTTCTCAGAATTGGCACATAATGACAGTATTAGCATTGCCTTGAAATTTGTTAGAAATGCAAATTCTCAGCAGGGGTTTGAACTAGACCAAATTAGTTCAAAGCCCTGAGATATTTTAGGCTTGGAAACCCGGGACAAAGCCAGCTTAACTTGCAACTGTTGAATCACAAATGCTATGTTATTCCTCTAAGCACAGATGTGAACAGCTAATCACCATCAACTGGAACTTACTTGTGTGAAAATAAAAATTAAGAGGCTAAACCTTTAATTCCAGAATCCAACAATGAATTCCTCCATTGCCTGATGAGTTAACTCAAAGGAATTTCTGAAACTTCCCAGCGCACTGGGTTAATTTAAGGTTTGGGATATGCTGATGGAGCTCTGAGTGACAGTTACATAAATTACACACACAGGCACACACGTGCACACACACACACACAAATGTGCCCTCACAGAGGGCCCTGGCCTGGGCCTTTTCAGCATGATGTGTGCACCCACTGGAAAGTCACACGTCTTTCACGAGGCCTGTTCCATGTGGCTGTCCACTGCTGGCCCTGTCCACCTGCTTCTCCGTCTTCTGCCATTCCACATGGAAATGTAAATCGAGACTTGGGCAATACTCTTACCATATTTTAGATAGCCTCAGAAGCCCCTAGATGAGATTGGTTTGTCTGAAAAAAGAAAGTAAGCAAGGTAGGGGTTTAAGCAATGTATGGACATTTTACAACTTGTCCCTGCAAAGAGCAGGATAGACAGGGCTTCACAATGCCTTTGAAATACAGGAATCCCTACTGCTGGCTGCCCAGAGACCTACCCTGAACCAGAACTTGATGATTTGTGTCCTCTAATCACCCTTCAGGCATGGCTTAGCCCTTAGTGAGTTAGGGTCACAGCTCCACAGGCTCACAGGGAAAGCAGGTTAAAGACCCGGTCATGTGAATGTGGCTGCCATGTGTGTCTCCATGGTGTCAACCATGGGAAGATGCATCAGGACACACCTGTCCTCATGGCCCTCCAGTTTCTTTTTCCCAGCCAGCTGCTGTTGTTGCAGGGACTGTGTAATAACACTGCAAGTTGGGGGTCTGGAGAGCAGAGTGCAGGTGGAGCAGTGCATGAGTCCTGTGTGCAATTCCAAGCACAGGGTCAGTAAAAACAAGGGAAACCCTCCCTGTGATAGATTTACACAATAGTTCCAACAATGCACACAAATATACCGATAATCATGTGGATGGTGCAGGACCAGGCAACATTTTCTTCAGTTATACATAAGGTTGCTGTGAATCCGAGCCGACTTGCCAGCAACTAACAAAAACACATCTAAGATCTGTCTTACATATAACATTGAAATTTTTAGTCACTAGCCTGGCCCTGCCACATGACTTCTCGATCGTGTAGCCAAAGAAGACTTTTTTTCTGGGTTTCGTTTCTCTGATTTCACTTCCATTTTTCCTTTTATTGTTTTCACGAAATGCTCAGGTCTTCTGAAGAGAAGAAAAAAAAGCACCAATACCCATTTCCTGAGGGTACATGCCCAGGGCAGCACCTTTGTTTGTGCTGGGAGTCAGGGCAAATTCCCCCAAGCAGTGCTGAGAACTAGCAGGAGTGTGGACAGAAACAGAATCAGCAGGCTACCTTAGCACTGAGGGAAGTGCTTCAGAGCATCCTGGATCTTCTTGTGTGATGACTGTGCTGCGTGGTATTTGGGGAACAGAGTGTTTTCCGGCAGATCACATCTCTGAACTCAAGGTGAGTCCACAGGGTAAGAAGCCAGTATAGATTTGCCACAATTCAACATGTACACATTGTTTCCAGTAACCTATCCCTGGACACCTTGCAGCACCAGCAATTCATCATGTCCAATGTTAAATTCAGCTTTTTGTTCACCAACCTGCCTGTCCCTCAACCAGTATCCAGTCTTAGCCAATGGGGCCACCATTCTCCATGGTCATTCTGACCAGAGACATAGGAGTCACCCCCAGAAAGCTTATTTAACCTCTCAGTGCCTCAGTTTCTTATGGTAAACGGGCATAACAATGATACCCCGTATCAGTTTAGTTATTACTGCAATATGCTGTGTAACAAGTACCTACACAATTTCATTGGCATACAACAGTTACCATTTATATTGCACACATCTGCATTTCAGCTGGTGGTCAGCTCATCTGGAATGGGATTGGCTGGGGTGGCTCTGCTGTACACATCTTTCATCGTTGTAGACCAATGGCCTAAATTGTCCATGTTCTCATAACAATGGCAGAAGCTCAAGGGAGTAAGCTAAATTGTACAAACAGTTTTTAAGCCTTTGGTTACATTGCATCTGCTAACATTCCATTGACTAAAGCAAGTTGTATGGCTGAGCCCAAAGTGAAGGGGTAGGGAAATGTACTCCACCATGGAGGTGGTAGGGGGAGTGAGCGAGTATTTTTGAACAATTATCTAATATGCCATAATAATATACCACACTGCCTCAAAGGGCTGTCATAAGAATTAATCCATTAATTGCTGAGTTATTTGTGATGGAGCATTCCCTAGCATTGTCTGTTGCTGCTCTTAGCCTGGTGCTTCCCAGTGGCCCCACCAATCATAGGCCATGTGCTACCAGAATCACAGCCAAATGCTTGGATGGATATGGTAGCGAGGGTCTTATGGTGAAAACCCAGCAGCAAACAGAAGGGCAGGGCTAGGAAACAGCAATGACCCCGACTCGTGTGGAAGAGAGAGATGCAAGGTTGGGGTGAGGGGTAGGAACAGTGGCAGTCACTTGTGGGATGGCACAGTCTGGCTGAAGGGAAGGACCCTTCCTTTTTCAGTCCCTCTGTTCCTGCACCCCCTCTACCTCCACAGTCCCTTCAACTCCCACTTCCATCACCCTGCTCCAAGAAAACAAGGGTGTGGAAGCTGGTGATACTTCTCCTTAATAATTAGCTGGATCTGAACTTAATAATTAGATGTCTGGGCCATCTCTTCCAACCATCTCCTGCTATGTTGGGAAAGCTGTAAAGCAAGTTTTTATGATTTCTGAACTGTCTGTCCAAAGAGGCCTATGGTGTATGGGTGGGGTTGGGTTTCTCAGAGCTGAGGCAGAACTTGACTGTGTTTTCAATTTTTGTAATTTTGAAATTATTTTAAATTTAAGAAAAGTTGCAAGAATAATGCAAAGAACTCTTTTATTTCACCCAGATTCTCCAATTGTTAACATTTTGTTACATTTGCTTTATCCTTCTCTTTCTATATGTACAACAAATATAAATAAATTACATGTTTTTTGAACCATTTGAGAGTAAGTTGCAGACATGATGTCGCTTTTACCTTAGATACTCCAGTGTGTGATTACAAGGTTACAGGGACATTCTGTTACACAACCTCAGTGCAGTGATCAAAGTAGTGAAATTCACTTGGATAAATACTATTGTCTAATCCAGAGTCCAGACAGTTTATCAGTTGTGTTTAGTTGTCATGTCTCTTTAATGTGCTTTAATCTGATCCTCAGTCTTTCTTGTCTTTATGATATTATCATTTTTGAAGAGTACAGGCCAGTCATTTTGTAGAATGTCCTTCAGTTTGGGTTTGTCAGTTGATTAAATTCAGACTATGCATTTTTGGCAGGAAATGACAGAAGAGATGTTGCATCCTCAGTGCATCACATCAGGAGGACCTCAATAACAGTCCCATTGTTGACGGATGTTAACTTTGATCTCTAGGTTCAGGGAGTGTCCATCAGATTTCTCCACTGTAAAAGTACTATTTTCCCCCTTACAATTAATAAATATTTTGTGGGGAGATATTTTGGTGAAAATATGTTTATATACTGCTTCCTACCAAACTTTCACTTTCTAGTTTTAGCATCCACTGATAATTCTTTCTGGAATCAATTATTACGATGATAGTTGTCAAAGAGTGATACTTCTAACTTCATCATTTCTTCTACGTTTATTAATTGGCATTTTACTGTAAGAAAGAATTTTGCCTTCTCAATCATTTCTCTCTGTCTCATCATTTTTCAGTCCATCTATCTATATGACTCATAGTTTCTTATTTTATTCAATGAGTTATAATCATTATGTATTTTGATATTAAAATTATCCCAGAGTTGGCTAGTGGAAGCTCCTTTAAACTGGCTCCTATATCCTGTTGACATGTTCCCATCATTCTTAGAGCAGTTCCTTAGTTTCTGATAAAACAAAAAGTTCCAGGTTCACCTTTCATTTTCCCTGTCCCAACCTTGCAGTCAGTGGCTGGAATTCATGGTAAGTGATATTTAGAAACCAATGTCTGGGTGCTAAGTGTGCTCATTGCTACTGGCATGTCATTGCATCTAGGCTAGCAGTTCTCAACCAGGGGCAATTTTGTCTCCTAGAGGGCATTTGGCATTGTTTGGAGACATTTTTGATTGTCAAAATTATGTGGGGTGGGGGTGCTTACTGCCATCTAGTGGGTAGAGGACAGGAATGCTGCTAAGCATACTATAATGCATAGGCTGAGACTCCCACAACAAGAAATTATTTGGCCCAAAGTGTTGATAGTGCCAAGATTGAAAAACTTTGTTTAGGCTTTCTCAATGGACAGAGCTAGAAAACACACACACACACACACACACACACACACGCATTGATAAATCTCTCTCTTAAACACCATGAGTTCATTGTCATTCTCCAATTCCAACACAATAAGATTATTTGTAGTCCTTCCCTTTTTTTGAAAATTTTTGTGGTAAATTATATATAACATAAAATTTGTCATTTTAATCATTTTGCCATTTTAGGTGTACAATTCAGTGGCATTAGTCACACTCACAATGTTGTGTGACTATGACCAGTATCTATTTTCAAAACTTTTTCTTCACCCGACACAACAATTCTGTACCCACCAAGCAATAACTCCCCATTTCTCTCTTCCCCTAGCCCCTAGTATCCTATAATCTACTTTCTGCCTCTATGGATTTTCTTATTATAGATAACTCAAATAAATGGAAATATACAATGTCCCTTTCTATCTGGCTGAATTTCGCTTAGCATAATATTTTCAAGGTTCATCTATGTTGGATCATGGGTTAAAATTTCATTCTTTTTTATGGCTGAAAAGTACTCCATTGTATGTATATATCACATTTTGTTTATCCATTCATCTGTTGAGGGACACTTAGATTATTCCTATCTTTTGGCTATTGTTCATTATGCTGCAATGAATGTTGGTATAAAAGTATCTGTCTGAGTTCCTGATATCAATTATCTTTTTTTGGAGATATACCTAGAAGCAGAATTGCTGGGTCACATAATAGTTCTGTGTTTAACTTTTTGAATATACACCAAACTGTTTTACACAGAGGCTGCACCATTTTACATTCCCACTGGCACTGCTCTATGGTTCCAATTTTTCCACATCCTCACCAGAACTTGTTATTTTCCTTTTTTTTTAACAAGTCATTTTAGTGAATGTGAAGTGGTATCTCATTGCAGTTTTGATTTGCATTTCCTTGATGACTAAGAATGTTTGGCACCTTTACATGTGCTTATTTATATCTGATTTGGAGAAATGTCTATTCAAATCCTTTGTCTACTTTTTAATTGTTTCTTTTTCTTTTTGTTGTTGAGTTGCACAAGTTCTTTATTTATTCTGGATACTAGACCCTTATCAGATATATGATTTGCAAATATTTCTCTCATTTTGTAGGTTGTCTTTTCACTTTCTTAGTGAAATTATTTGATGCACAAAAATTTTTAATTTTAATGAAGTCCAACTTATATATTTGTCTTTTGCTGCTTGTGTTTTGTCGTATCTGAGAATCCATTGTGAAATTCAAAGTCATGAAGATTTATCCTTATATTTTCTTCCAAGAGTTTTATGTTCTAGCTCTTATATTCAGGTCCTTGATCTATTTTGAGTTAATTTTTGTAGGGATACAGCTTCATTCTTTTGCATATGGAAATTTTGTTGCCCCAGTACCATTTGTTGAGACAGTTCTTTCCCAATAGAATGGATTTGGCACCATTGTTGAAAATCAGTTGACTTTAGATGTATGGGTTTATTTCTTGACTCTCAATCCTATTCTATTGGTCTATATGTCTATTCTTATGCCGGTACCACACGATTTTGGTTACTATAGCTTCATAGTAGGTTTTGAAAATAGGTAGTGTGATTCCTCAAACTTTGTTCTTTTTCCAAATTGTTTTGGTTCTTTGAAGCCCCTTCCCATTCCGTGAAAACCCTAGTAGTGTAGTGGTTAAGAGCTATGGCTGCTAACCAAAAGATCAGCAGTTCAAATGTACCAGGTGCTCTTTAGAAATTCTATGGGGCAGTTCTACTCTGTCCTATAGGGTTGCTATGAGTCGGAGCTGACTTGACGGCAACGGGTTTGGTTTTTTTTGGTTCCCATTCCATATGAATTTGAAGTTGTCTTCTATTCCTATTTTTCTGAGTGTTTTTATCATGAAAGTGTGTTGGATTTTGTCAAATGACTTTTATGTATCAGTTGAGATGATTATGTGGGTTTTTTTCTTTGTTCTATTAATGAAGTATATTGCAGTGAATTTTTTAAAATTTATTTTGTTGAGAATATACACAGCAAAACATACACCAATTCAACAGCTTCTACATTTACAACTTATTGACATTGATTACATTCTTCAGGGCTCATCCTTTTCTGAGTTGTTCCTCCTCCATTAACATAAACTCATTGCCCCCTAAGGTTTTTATGTTGAACCATTTTTGCTTTTGTGGGATAAATCCCACTTGTTCATGGTGTATAT